CGGAAAAAACCTGGCAGAAGATGGATACTTGGAGAGGATTATGGGACTTAATAAGTAGGGCTATGAGTAAGGTAACTATGGTTATATCTACTTATAACCCTAATTAGGGTACTTATAACCCTACTTACTAAGTCCCCTGATCCTCTAAGTAAACCCTAAAAGGGAGGGTTTCGCACTTTCGGGGGCAGCTCCTGTTTTCGAAATTGTTCACGCGGCTCGTTCGAGCTCACGCACACCGGCGTACATGAAGACACATGTACACAGCAATGCGTGTGCACATACATAGACATATATGTAATAGGTGTGTAAATACCTATGTAGATTTAGACATTTATGTACGACTAAAACACAGTGCTATGTATTTACATACACAGGAACAATGGAACTTGAGACATGCATAGAAGTCTGATGATATGGCATGTCGATACACGTCCCATCTGGCAAACGCCCAAGACCCGGACGCTTTGATCACATCCTTCCGTGCAAATAAATGCATGGTTTGCAAATTACAGTTTACGGGCTACGTTCAACCCATATGTGCTTCTCTACGCGAGCTGAAAAGCAGCACGCATTCGAGTTAAGTTGGCAAGATGTGTCATTGTGCTTCACTACGTTTGAAAAGATAGCCATCCTGCACCCGATTGGCGGGCAAGGCCAGCATTGGGAAGTTCTGGGGTGTAGAGCTCACTTCTGGCTTGCACTATTGCAGCCCAGGGCCGTGGCACACTGCGGCTTCTGGAGCTATGCGGAGGCAGGACCGCATTTGTTCGTCCCGTGGTTGTGTTTGCATGGCCTTGCAGCTCAGCATGTGTATCTCCTTCTCCGGGTAGTGCTGTTGTCATGCCAAGCGCGTTTGTTCCATGTGACGTAGCCTTTGCTGCGAGGCTTGTTCGAGCTCATGGTCCATCCGCTTCAGTGTCCGTATCGAAATAGATATCTTACCTGCATGTTCTCGCGCAGCGTGTAGCTGGCAACTTTACCATACGGTGTTCTGGGAGACCAAGATCTAGCGCAGCATGCAAGAAGATGTGAAAAAAATCCAACAACGTCAAGCACCAGAGATGTGTGCAGGGGAGCGCGAGGCCTGGCGTTCTCCACCCACACAGCGAGAAACACAGAGAATGCAAGAGAGACACAGTCAGCAATATGCTTCTTGTTAACATAACGGTCAGTAAGCATTGGCTGCTATTCGCAACACTTTTTCACGATGTTATTAGGCCCATAGTATGACGACGCTTGTGACTAACCTTTCATGAGTGAGGGGGAGGGAGAGAGAGAGAGGTATAGAGAGATCTTTGAGATCGCTGCAGGTGTTGGTGCCATAGGCCTCAGCCTAGCGCATGCGGCAGCGACGCTTTGGTATGAAGTTATGGCTCTTCTGGATTTGAGGATTCAGCATTTCGGGTTCAGAGGCTCTGGATTGAGGACTTTCAATTCTTGCCTGATAATAGCTGCACATTGCGAAGCGTGACGACTCCTTGCAACTTGTGTGACCTTGCCAAGATCAGGATTTCAAAGGCTTTCGCAAGCGTGGCGCTCCTGAGCACGGCGGCCCGCTCCTGCCATGCCGACGTTTTCTTTTGTGGTCCACGGGGGGTATTTCATAAGGAAGACCTGCTTCGTATGGTCAACGAGGGTGGCAGAAAGTATGTTTGGATGGAATTAGCATGTTTGGAAGGAATGATTTGCTGCATCAGACTCCTTGTGTTGTTTGTGTCCACACAGGGTCTAACACTGGAAAACGTTTTCACAGCCAGCTCGTTCTAAGGACATCAATCCAGAAGGTGGGACACTGTTCAAAGCCAACGCGTCCCAGATTTTTTCCGACATCAGAGAGCACCGCAGATGAAACCAAGACACCGCATTTTGCTGCTGCGCTTGAGGTGCAGGTTGTGTGTGGTGTTTGAGCATCATTCGCGATTGCTTGCAGCCGAGGCATAGTGCAGTGCGCACTGAGTTTGCTCCCTTGAGCTTGAACGCAGCGCTTCTTGGCCTGCAAGCAGGAAGGGCAATCGCAGTCCTGGCATGTTGAAGCATGAGGAGCTGCTATTGCAAAGGGACAGGAAGGGTGGAAGCCGGAGACACGAAGGTCTAGAGTCAATGTGCAGGTTCCTTATGTGAAAAGTGGGCCTTGGAACTTCTTTGTGGCGAAACCTATCCTCTGGACTCATGGTTTTAAGTCTCGCAGGGTCATGCGCCCAAAAAACCTTATTTATAATCCGTACATGAGGCGAGAACTGTTTTCAGGCTGAAGGCTGTGGTCATGGGTGTTGCACAGGCTGCGGAATGTGGAAGCGCTGGACGGGCCAGCCGAAGCCGACATGCCGCATCTAATTGCAGGTTGAGGGTTGGGTTCCGTAGCCTAGTAGCTAAGTTTTTGGGCAGATTGCCTGAAAAGCCCGAGTCGTCGGAGTGTGATCCAGAGCCAGGCAACGACCAGTTATTCATGGAAACCTATCGTCCACAGATGTCCAAAGATTTTTGGGTTTTGTGCCTCGAGAAACCCATTCCCAAGCGTCACCTCTGCACACATTTGCGCCTCGAATTTTTCTAGACCCCACGCCTGAGTTGAGTGCGTCGATTCTCGTTGGGCGGAGAGGCTCTCTGTCCCGATTGATAGCTTCGAAGTGGACCAAAAACTAGTGAGAAGCTAGGTTTACTCGAGAATAGTATGGAAGCCTAAACAACTACCAATATTATTCCTTTAGGGTTCCTTATTATAAGTATACTATGAGCTACCTAACAACCCTATTAAAATTAAGGCCCCTACAACACACTGCCTTCACGCCGTTCAACTGCCCTCGGCCAGTAATATAGGAGCCTAAATGATTACCAGCGGTATTTTGGGGGTTCCTCACTATAATTATAGTATAATATACCCCGAAACCCTATTCTAATCAGTAAGGCCACCATAGTGCCCAGGTGTTGATCGTTAATCCCCCGCGCTCCGGGCTGTCGGCACGGAGCTGGCGCAGCGGTCGCCCAGCGGGTGAGGAGGACATCGCAGTGCGGAGTTTCGAGCCTGAAAGCTTATAAACCCTAAACCCTGGTGACCTTGAAGAGAATTTGGTTTCTGGATCCATGGAGGCCTAGTGAGGTTTGACATAGTTAAGCGTGTTCATGCAGGGCGTGCAGCGTGTCTACTGTCTGAACACTGAAGCTGCACCATTTGAGGTTCCGGAGGTTGGGCTGGGAGCTATGATGATTGTGTAAATGTGCCAATATTCGTTGGATGCCACTTCCTTGCCTGAAATCCTTGTAATCGGCAAGGATAGACAGAAACCGTCGTGAAGCTTGTAGTAACAATGGTCCGGAATGAGGACGAGGACGATGGTGGAAGTCCACCAGCTAGTAGTCGTTGTTGTTGTCGAGATAGGTCTTCAGGATAGTCCAGGCTTCTTGACTAGGATTGCCGTCTCCTAACCCTGCATGGATGTGGGGTCCTTTGGAACCGGAGGTGATTGCACAAGACTGGTATGGAGGATATTGAGACCCAGGCTTGAGGGTACCGGTGGCTAGCAGTACTTATCCATGGATGGATGCAGTGTTGACTTTGCGGAATAGCCTGAGGTAGCCACTAGCAGGGATATCGAGGCACCTCACAAAACTCGACCGCACACCTTGTGATTGAACGTCCTCGGGAGCTTAGAGCTTAGGTTCGGCTGTAGGGTTTATTCCGACAAGAAAATATCACCCGAAAACTCGTTTGGGCTGAGGAGCCTAGGACTTGGCAGCTAAACAAGCATCATCCGAATACGGCTCACCCACCAAACAGGAAGCGCAGCAGATTCGAGACAGCCTGGCACTCAGTACTATCCAGACAGAAGAGATTCGCATTCAGAGAGGTGCGTGATACTTCCATGCCTTAAACCATTGAACTCAAGAAGCTGATACCCGTCAACTCCACAACGAATCATCCCATGGGTCGCGCGCTGACTGCAAGGTGCTGTCCGTGTCATCATCTACATGAGCTGCGGACCACGGAGCTTCATGCAGGAGTCCGTCAGTGCCCTTCCGAACAGTAGCAAGAACAACCGTGGAGGGGGCAGAGTGGGGAGGAACAGTTTTGCTCTTATCCCGTCTGTTTACAAAAGCAGCTGGCAGTAGCAGTAGTAGTAGTAGT